AATACACGATTACTTGTTTTATTTGTATCTTTTGTAGTTTTGACGAAGTTTATGGCCATGAATAGTTTGATTTACTCTCCTTGTCTAATATATATGCAATTGTATGTTTCACGACCATTGTTAACAAAAAAAAAAAAAATTCAAGAAATACCCTGAGGTGTTACAAGGTCTCCGCTTAGGAACGAGCTCACGAACCCTCTTGATTGTGCTCCATTGTCACTTTTAAGAATGAGGGTTAGGGAGAGAGTAGGGCCGTGAAAAAAACAAAAGGGGATCGCGAGTCTCAGCATATACGAATTGTGCATTTTCGTAACGTTTGGAATGTTAGTCCAAAACTCAACCTTGTTTTATTTAGATCGGAAACTCTGCCTTAATAAAGGGCAAGAAGCAGATTCAAGCTACCTATTCTAACAAAGTAAATTATTCTTTTTTTTAAATTTATTTTTCTGTTGTCGTCTGACTCTGAATAACCAACAAAGTTTTGAAAGCAAGAAAATATCACAAATGTTAGATATATATTGGGCTAACTTATTAACGAAAGAGAGCCCACCTAGGCCCATATAAGGATGGACTTCATGGTCGTGGGTTTGCCCAACGACATGCCCACAAGACGACTACGTAAAACAAATGAGGGAGAATGAGATGAAAAGGCATTTACATTGCTTTTTTTTATATAGTAATTTACTGAAGTGAACAGAATAAAAGAGCGAATTGATTTTCCTCGAGTACGTTATGAAAACCTCATTAACAAAAACACATAATAAAAAAACTTATATATGAAAGTTATAACTCAGTTGGTTTAACTCTTTTACTTCTATTTATGCGGGCAGAGAACTCCCACACACCCAATGAATATATGTGTAAACACCCGTCTTTCAATTGCTTGTGCTAAAAACAAAGTGGACTATGTTTTATGTCATACTTTCAATGTTGATGGCCAAGCTCTTATAGCATCTCCAATAGTCTCTTCAATAACTTTGGAATGTTAAAATAGGTGAGCTGATCGGTTCATAATTGTATATTATTTCTTACCCTTCTAGCTTATGATTTGGTTATGTTTTTGAGTTAAACTTGTGCTTTTAATCCTTTTTGTGTTTATCTTTCAGTTAATTGAGCTTTAGGTAACAATGATGGCTTTGGAGAACATAATTCATGCAATTCAAGCATGTTAAGGCCTAATTTGGATGAAT